CTTTTCTGGGGTTGGGTGCCTAGTGGTGATTTAACATGTGGTGAAATATTTGGGGAATGGCCCTGTGAGGGGATGGCCAGGCCATGGAAGTCCTTAGCCTGCTTGGGATGTAGGCACCATATTTTCTTGGCTTAGTTCCTTTCTAAGATTTGCTTTGTTCCTTCTGACTTGCCCCTCTCTGAGACCATCCTCCTTCAGGATATAATAACCTACTGATTTAAATARGGATGACCCTTAATGAGGCCACTTTGTAATTCAATGCACTGTTCTTTCCTCCCCACACTGACCAGAAGTTCCTTCCACTCCTGTTACTGCATCCTCTGAACCCAAAGAGACTCTTCCTATTTCCACAATCTTTCTGGGTGTTTCCCAGGCAGGCTGTAAGATGAGGGATGTGTAGGAGAACTGATACACAGAATTCAGGGTGTTCAGACATGGTTCCTGCTGCAGGGGGGGTGGCAGGCCTTGTGGTTTCTCCCAGATGTGCTGGAATAGCTGGGACATTTGCACATGAGATGGAGCTGTACTTTTGCCTCCTGGTGAGAYCTGGCTCCTGGATGGAGATATCATGGCCAGGCTGGATCCCCTGTCCTTTTTGGGGTGACAGGAACTGCAGCAGTGCTGGAGTGCTGCTTAGAATTTGCTGTTGTGGTTTTTTGGCAGGGAGGAGGCAGATGAAGCCAAGCTGCACTGCGGGTTTAAGGTGCTCCCCACTGAGTGCCTGATGGCAAACACTGCCAGGGACAGTGGGACGCAGGGATCTGTGCCTGCCTGCTCCAGTACATTTTTACCTTTTCCATTTCCTTGCCTGCCTCAGGGAGCCCTGCTTAGGCAGGGGGGGATTTTCCAAGGCCAGCTGTGTCCTGTCTCTATGTTTCATGGCTSAGTGACCTCCCTTCAAGAGCTGCCCCTGGAAGTGAGGAAAGGGGAATGGCTGCAGCTTGGATTTGGGGACAAAGGAACGGGCTAAGCACAGCAACTGGGTTAAGTACAGTGCAGAGGCAGGAATCAGCCTGGAATATGGTGGAAGCTTTTCCCAAGCCTTCTCTGCTTCCTAAACTTTCTGACTCAGATCCTGGATCTGCCACCATGGTGTGCAGATGCCGTCCCTTGCTTCAGGCATGTTTCAGTCATTCCAGAGCCCTCCTGAAATCCATAAGAGAAGCACTGTTCCACTTCAAGCAAAGCATTGGTCAGACCTGTAATAAACAGCAGGCTCTGACATTTAACACATGTAATACTGTTTGCCCAGTTTTAAAAAGGAAATATTATCTAAGCACCCCTCTGAAGACTAGAGCCACCCACACTTWGCTGTGTTAGGTTTGGCCAGTGTGACCTGTGCAATATGGCTATCACTTCCAGAATATAACATTCTGAGCCCCTTATAAATTGTGCAGTGTACTGAATGAAAAGTTTCTCTGTGTGTTTAAAAATCCCCCCCACTCCCAGATCCTTCTTGTGATAGAGAATAAATAAGGAAAAAATTATAACTCCCTAAACTGATAGAAAATTAGCACGGTCATAAAAGGCGTCTGTGGCTTTAGCAGTRCAGCTGAAAAGGAAAAATGAATAAACCTGCCACTCACTCAGAAAGTAAGAGGCAGAGCTGAARAATGGCTGCTGCCATTTTAGCCTCCTGGCCCTTCTCCCCCCTGTGCATGTGCAAAAATAGCTCTGTGCCCTGTGCAGGAGGCGAGGAAGTGCTCTGCCATGGGACCCTTCCTCCAGGCACCGTGCTCAGCAGCAAACTGCTCTACAGCACATGGCTAGAGGATATCCTAAATTAATTTACATAGGCATATAAATATATGCATGTGTGTGTTTTCTGTATGAAATATGAAACCAGCGATTTCTTAGCCAACCCCTCAATTTGTCTGAAACAGCACAGGCATAATGGAAACTGCCCACACATTTTTCCATTAAAAGTTACAAAGGAAAAGAAGCGGGGAATTGGTGATAGAAAAACACATGCTCTCTCAGCTGGCGCAGAAATGCCATGGAGCCAGGCRGCAGCACTCGCTCACTCCCTCCAGTGTGCTGGGAAAAGTGTCATCCTTATTCTGGAAGGTGGCCTTCCTGCTGCTGGCCTCCCTCCTCAGCCCCTGGGATTTGTGTGTTTGGAGGGGAGGGACATGGCTGTGCTGTGCCTGTGCAGGTGGATGCACTGGATGTAAGGAAATCCCAGTTTGTCCATATCTGTTCTGCAGCTTTCCTTTTCTGGGTGAGGAGGTTCCCTGCTGGACAGTCCTGGGGGTGGCTGTGGAGCTGCAGAGTAGCCGTGCCCAGGTGGGTTACGAGCAGGTCCCTGCCCTGGCAACTCCCTCCTCCTGCCAGGTTCTTCTGTGCAGTCTGTCCAGCCTGAGTGTGACTTTCTCCAGGGATGGATGAATGTGTGACATGAATCTGCTGCTGAGAGCAATACAAAGCCTAAGTGCTGCGAGCCACGCTGGCTGCAGGGCGGTTCCAGGGGTGTCCTGATGGAGAACAAAAGAAGGGGACCCARGGAAGGCCTGGGGGAGCACTGGTGRCCCTTCAGCTGAGGCATTTCCCCAGGCCATCCCTCAGTGCCACCTCACTCCTTCCTGCTGCCAGCCAGAGACACCACAGGTGAGACCCCGTGGCATTAAAACCCTGCCATTCTGGCAGGACAGATTCTTCAACAGGAAAAGGTAACTTYCCCCCTTCCCTGCCTTCAGCTGYGAGTGTCAGGTGCATCAGCAACTCMTTGCAGCCAGCCCTACAACCTCACCGCAAGCTCTGGGTCTGGAACAGCCCCACGAGCTCACCAGCACTTTTCCAWGGAATGCCTTGTGTTGACAGTGCTAACCAGCCTGCACAGCGGGAGGGGGGAAAAGCAGCTGGTAACTAATGCGGGGCTGTGGGGATTCGTGGGGTGTGCATGGTTCTGGTTTTCGCTATATTGTCCTATAACCCATATGCATCACTGTGGGTTRTGTTAGTGGAATTTTGCTGCTCAGCAGCTGTCTGGGCAATGTGAAGCCAGGCCCACTCATCCTTTTAACCATCAAAGGTACGATTCAATCCATTTACGGCTGCCTCAGGGCACTGCTCCACACATCTTTCGCAGCAGCTGTGCCAGCTTAATGCATTCCCACCAACTTGACTCAAAAGCCGTGCTGCCATCTGCATCTGCTGATTGATCTGGGGTTAAAAATAAGCTGGAGGACTTGACTGGCTCCTTGTTTCAGTTTCCCTGCTCAGTTGTGCTTTTTCCCATCCCCCCCATATCTTGGGCTGTGTGTTCCAATGTGCCCATTCAGTGGTAATGTCAGAAACGTAACAGCATCTTCTCCTCACCGCCRACCTGTGCCTGGCAATGTAAGCCACAAACCCTTCCTGGGGCCTTKTTTTAATATGAAGAGCTCTGTGTTTAAAAGACTGACACAAATTTGGCCATGGTAAACTCCAGCACCTTGCTAAAGTCTGCTCCACAAAGTCATTTCAAGTACAATTTTGGTCACTGGAAAGGAGATGAAGAAAACAGAAAATAAAAGAAGCAGCCCAGCCCTGAATGGATCATAATTTATTATGAAGTAGGACAGACTTTGTTTTTAATAAAAACTGTTGCTTAGGACAGCAGAATCTCTCAATCTGTGCTCCAGGACTCATCCTACGAAACACCTGGTAGCTCCTATCAGAAGTTATTCGGCTCCCTCAGAGTTTCCAGCCTTGGCAAATTACGAGTGGTGAGACTTGAAACTTTGTGCGTCATTTCATTTATTAGAATAATTTTTCCTCTTCCCTGACACTCTATGTGTTATGTTCTGTATTAATAGTGTAGTAGCATTTCTCAATAGCGCCATAATTTACTAATCCACAAAGGGCAGGGATGTGTTTTACATTTCAAGAATTGTGACCAACTGCCCTCTCATCTGCCTCCCAGAGAAACCTGAGAATGTTGTTCCCCCCCACACTGCTAAGTAAGAAGCAGATCTTTCTCCCTGAAAATACCTGTCTTCCCTGTGAAGTGACTGATCCTGGAGTTCCTTGTGCCTTTCATCCATCTGCTGTCAATTTAACTGGCTCCACGAGCTAGTGGCGCCTTCTTATGACCTTGCAAGAATTTACAAAATCTGGTTTCTATAAAAAATAAGGGGTGATCCCCATGTTTACCCTCTTGCTCAACCAACCATGTTTTGTTACTACCAGCTTGTGCTAGAACGTATCCACGTCTTCCCCACCAACTCAAGTCTGGATCTGCTCYGATGGCCTGGCCAAGTTTTCCAGCTGCCGAGGTGACCTCAGCGGAGCAGTCGCTGTGGCAGATGTGCAGTGGCTTGGCCTGGATGGTTTCTGGTGCCCTGGAGCCAAAGCACAATGCTGGGGCTCTGCAGCTTGGCAGAGCCATGGGGCAGATTGGGGTGCATGGCCCCAGTTTCTCGGAACCCCCCGGTTGGGGTTTGCACCGGGGAGAACCCACAGGAACCCAACMCTGCCCAGGCCAGCGGGGTCACTGTGCCCGTGTTAGTGCTGAGGACACCATGTACTCATCCATGAGCTCACAATCAGCCAGACCTGAGAGGCCAGCAGAGACAGGGAGAAGATTTACAGGATGCCATGGAAGGGTTTGGTTGGGGTGGAGGGGACCTTAAATATCATCTGTGCGTGTCTGTATACAGCGGAGGGAATTGTCTTTGGTGTCTGTCTTGGATCTTTGAGCTCAGACTGACTGCGATGCCAGTCGGCTTCAGCACTGTGCGAGGTTCCACATGTGTGTGTCAGACCACATAACCCCAAAATAGGCATTTYTCTAGTGACATTTAGCCTTGGTTTTCCAAATGAAGACACCCACTTGCAGCAAGGCAGTCGTTCGCAGGATGGAACTGGAAGTATTTATTTACCCGGAGTGTAACTTCTACCTTTCATCAGAAGGCAGGTACGAGCTGCTTAATGACAGGATTATGTATTTCAACTTGCACTTTATAAAAATTTGGAAATAAAACCTTTTCCTAACAACAGTTGCRTTCTTGGAAATCAAGTTCCATCTACAGAAGCCTTTCATGTCAGAGACATATCCCACATGTGAGTCATTGTTACAATTCAATAAATACTTTACAAAAATAATGCTAGCTTTTTAAAAAAATTAAGACATTTTAAGTCACCGATAGCTCCCTCCAGAGAGCTTCCCTTAAAGAATAGCTACTTCTGTAGGACACTGTGCACTCAGCATGAGAAAAATGGGGGGAAAGGGCTGGTTGCATCTTTTATCCCAGGGAACTTGTACTGTTCTCTAAAAAAAATAAACTTCTTTCTTTTTTTAAAAGAAAGAAAAAAGCAGATCCAAACATTCTTCATAKTCAAAACCGGGAATAAACTGTGGGGGGTTTTTTGTCCTTTGGCATGGATTCCTTCTCTGCCCTCACTCCTCCAAAGCCTTTCAGCATGCTCAGTTCACAGGTAGCTGCCCTGCAGGTCTTCTCCCCAGCAAAAGCCGTAAACCCCAACAGCTGCAGCTCTGCATCTGAGATGTCCCAGGAGTGGGAYGTTTGCATCTCTAGCAGAACAGCTGCATCAGGACATCTTCTGGCTCGTAGGAAATCCATAGCTACATCTTCCTGCAAGCCTACCCCAGATGGACTGCAAAGACCTGAGCTGGAAGGTAACAGGAGGAATTCCAAGAGAAAGAGATTGCYAGGGATTCTCTATATTCATTTTTGACTATTACCCTTCCAAAAAAATTTTCCCTTCTTAGACATGACTAGTCATGAAATCAATTATAGAGAAAACTGATGCTGTAGGTGCATTAATCTTGTAAACCATTCCCATATGGAAGAGTACATTCTTCAATCCCATTGTTTATAACAACTTTTAAATATGTGCCTCCTCAGCTGGGGCCTTGGGGCCTGATGGTGATGGCAGCTACCCCCCAACCCCTCCATTATGTTACAGATGGGAAATAAAATGAAATGCACATTATTACATGAACGTTATTGCGGTATAAAATCCTATCAGGACAAGATTTATGTATGCAAAAATAGGTGTGTGTGTGTGAGACAGAGAGATACGCGTTTATAAATTACACACACTGTGAAAAATACGTATTATATTACAACTATATACATTCATTAGAAAGGAACTGATCGACCCCTGCCAAGGAGCCAATGCAGCAGCCATCATCAGTTCTTTGGCATCCAGGAAACGAATGCTATTTTGTGTCTGAAGAAGAGGAAAATCTCAGTATTCCCTCGCTTCTTGAAACTGCTTGTAGTAGTCTTCGTCTGACGGGTTTTCTGTGCACTTCTGCCCRTTGTTGGGAGGCCGGGCTTCATTGTAGCGGCTCCAGTCGCCTTTGCATATGATCCAAGGCAGAATGTCCACCTTGTAATGGAGTTCTGCTGAGAATTCGATGCTGATCAGGTTGGGCGTCCCTGCCCCTTTGCCCCTGGTGATTAGCCGCATGTTGTCGTCGTAGCAGCAGTGCTGTGCCGCCAGCGTGGTGCTTTCCAAGGACAGCATGGAGCGGATGCAGTACCGCGCCGTGGGCTTGTAGATCTCCAGCTTCTCCTTCGGGCCACTTGCGTCTTTCCAGCGGAAGCTYTTCCTCTTCAGCCGGTCGTAGATCTCAGCAGTGCTGTAGGCAACTTCCCTGGGGTAGGAGCACGGGCAGCTGGGGAGATCATTGACCACTTTGTGCATGTATTTCTTCAGGAACTCGCTCTTGCAGCTCATCCATCTCTCACAGCTGTCAGTATCTGTTTCAGGGCAGGAAATGGAAACTTTAGATACATTAAGCAGCATCCCAGTCGGTGTGATCAGCGACAACAAACGAGCAAAGTGTAGCTGTTCAGCACCAGTGCTCTGCTTTAGAAAGAAAGGGCGGTCACAGCTYGCTGCCCTTCCCACAGTGGGTTCTGCACTGGATTGTCAGATAAAGAAATCACACTTGGGACTGACATTCAGGGTCTCAGGCACTGCTAGTCTGAGTTACTGTGCAGAACCAGCCCAGTAGGAATCKGTGACACTTCTTCTACCTGGCAAATCCTAATTGAGCTACTGATATCCCCATGCAGCRCAASAGCCACTACCATGGGATGACAAGCAACAGAAACAGGGAAATCACAGTGATTTGGTGCCAGTTTCCAGCTGGAACCCTCAGTCAGAACACACTCACCAGGAAAAATGTCATTCAAATGGTGAAGGATTAAGTTTCAGATGATATTAAAAATTCCAAGGTGGCAGCAAGGCCTGTATTACTCTTTCTGAAGTTCATTTTAGGCCCTAATTCAATAATCAGTCCCTTTTAGAAAACAAATACTTTTTTTCTATTTGGTCTCCAATTTCCAAAGGGGTATTTCARGTATCTGTAGTTCAGACACAGAGACTGACATCTTAGCTGGCAAATGCAGCCAAAAGTGATTCAGGTTCTGAAAGGGCATATGTGACATAACATCAGAGAGTCTGTACACCAGGGGGAGTTAATGGCACCAAAGCCATGAGGTATAGCTGGGATTAAAGAGATTTATAGACCAGTAGCATATTTAATACTGGCACTTTATTATTTTGCAAGACTCTWGGGAGAATCCAGTCAAACATCTCCTAAAACATTATTTAAGGTGTCTGTATCATGCTATGTCAAAAATACCCTGCACACCTTGCTCTGCACTTTCTTAAGAGGGCTCTGCAGGAGAGTAACTAACTGGGACCTAAAACCCTTACAGCAAACATTCTTGTGMAATATTTACTCAGTGATCAGTGTCCTGTTTTTCTGTCTTCTTAAGGAGTCTCATCCTGGCTGTCATTAACTATTGTGCTCTGCCACCATAGGAGGGAGGTGCTGGGTTACACTATTTATTCAATTAATCCAGTATTCAGTGCCTCTGAGTCTTCACACTATGGTGTCATTGGAGGGATGAAATCAGAACATTGCAGATGTTGCATTGAGTTTTAGATAGTTCAGACTCAAGGCATGCCCTATAAAATTGCTTTGGCTCCCCCATTGCAGCACACAGAGYTATAAAAGCAATGCATGCTCATGAAAGTCATTGCCCTTTTTTTTAATGTGACAGCTGTATTTAAAAATGTTTTTATAGTGTCTTCCATTTGAGGTCATTTCAGCTAAATTAAGTGTTTGATTTTTTCCACCTCCATTTGTGTGGAGTCTTACAACTCTTTTCAGAATTAGGACAGCAAATAACCATTTTATGACGAAACAAGCACAGGACTTAAGGGGAGAAAGATTCTGTGACTGAAGGAAAGGCTCAGATCATAAAAGCAGGCAAGATGGCCATTTTTGTTGACATTTTAAATGCTAAACTAAAGACCTTGATCCCGYGGGACCAAGAAAACCCTAAGGCAGTCTCTTATCTGTTCCTGAAGGATTGACTCGGCTGCTTACCAACTTCAAACAGTTTGGTTGCGTTGAAGTCTTCGCTCCCWGCAAGTAAACTCACTTCAGTGGCAGCTGTCCGGAAGGTATCTTCGATCCCTAAGACAAACAGGTGTTAGTGGGACTGATGTTTTCCCATTAAAGCACAATGGAATCAGCTGCCTCCTTGCCACCCCTTCCTTCCACCCCCAGGCTCTGCACGGTGCTTTGGTTTGGCAGGGAGGCAATCTGAGGTTGCTGCTGGACCATTCCTTCAAAAGCACAAAGACCAAGAAATCTGTGCTGTTGGGAAGGTTAAACAGAGTGACATGCCTCAAGACAGGTAAATTCATCWCCCTATGGGGGCAATCTCAGGGATYACAYGGAARARYRATGCTRTTACAAGAAGACTGGTGCTTGTTGGTCTCTCCCAGTGCTAGGGAGTTAAAAGGTGTGTGTTGGCAGGAGATAACCAACCTCTCCAAGCAATTCCATGCCCACCATTTACAGCCATCAAATAAAAAAACAGGATCTCAGCATATCGGGATCTATCAGCAACCTCCATCGTTTGCTATTAGTAGAGAGACACTGAGATTGCCAGAAAAAAATGATCTTGCCAAAGTAAACATCCTTTCATTGCTGCTTTAGTTCAGCCTATTGGCCAGCCCAATGTTTCTGTGCCATGTAGGCTTAACACCAATATCTTCTCACAAAAGCCAGAAAAGGTTGCTTTTTCGGTTTTTTTTTTTTTTTTTTTTTTTTTTTTTTTTTTTTTTTTTTTTTTTTTTTTTTTTTTTTTTTTTACCTCTCCATTGAATTAAAGACTTCTAAAGAGAGCAGAAAGATATTTAATATGTGATAGCTATAGGAAATCTATTCACCATCCATCTTGCAAATGAACTTTCTCCTGATCTCCTGAACTGGGGCATAATAGTGGTGTGCAAAGCTTCAAAAGAGCCTCAGGCCAATTTTCAATAAAATTATCATAGGGTTTTGTCTTAACTCCAGCACTGGATGTAGAATAATAGATACCCAAGAACCCATTACAAGGCAGTAATTCACTGCTGGAATTATAAACAGCAGAAGCTGAGCTTTGCCCTTGTAATTTTAAAAATGTCAGCGCAGCCTCAAAGAGTGAATATGTTTTGCTTGCTGATCGTTGGAGGTCTGTTATATGACATAATATATTCTTTCAAGTTTGCCACTGTTTGATGCTAGCTGGTAATAAATACTGGAGAATATAACTGGGGTTTACATGCTTTCTGCTGGAATTAACCCCTTCTTATTGAGGTTTTAGGATGTATGAGAGCATGCAGAAACATTTTCCTCCTGAACTGCCTGGCAGTTGTTGCCTCACAACGGAGACACGAATCTGCGAGTGAGAAACTGCTCTCCAACTCTCTCACCAAGCACTCTAAGTCTCCTCTCCAGCGCTGCTGACATTTCACTCCCCATTAAAAAAAAGCCTGACCTCCAGTTTAAGAATTTCTGCCTTTCTGAGTCATTAAGTAAACTCAGAGTAATGCATACCACCATGGCTTGTGTTTTCACTTCTCTCTGATCTTGGGAAGTAATGAACTTGCACCTATCCCCTGCACTGTGGCAGCTACTGAATGACAAATTGGTCTGAGTTCAAACACACAGCAGAWTTTTWAAAAMCTGTTTTCCATAGCAGCTTCAAATWTTTGTGATGKAGGCTTGAGTRCACAGGCCTGCTTTTGCCAAAGTGAAGACTGTGYGATGGTAAGGACACTTCAAATGTCAAATCCTGGATGGGCAGGAGCTAAGGCAAGGCTCCTTGGCCATATTTTCTGAATCTACTCAAGCCAAAACTGTACATTCCTTCATCCTTGTTCCCCATGCAGGCATTGGAATTTACTGCACACAGAACAGGAGCTCGCTGAGGTAACGGCACAGCTGGTTTGAAATTCTAAAACAGCCCCAAATTTGTTTCAAGATTAGAGTAGATTACACCCTTTGGAACACAAAACGCCTGTGCACAAAAATGACTGCTGAGACTAAAGAAAGCCCGTGCTTGTCTTCTAAGTCCCAGGGGGTGGTGGACTGCACCTAGCAGTGCATTATTGCAATAAATAAATAAATGGTGTTGAAAGCCAGCGTGTTGAAAACCGCGCCCAACTGCCTCTCCGCGGAACACACGGGCCCCAAGCTCTGCCCAGGAGGGCTCTCTCCACCCCGTGCCCACCCTCCCATTCCCCCATGGCCACCAGCAGCTCCCACCTGGGCAGTTGGGCCGGTCGCAGGTGCGGGACTCGGTGGCCGTGCAGGCGTAGCCGCAGGACCGCGTGCGCTTCTGGTTGCCGCTGCCRCAGGTGACGCTGCACGGCGACCACGGGCTCCAGTCGCCCTCGCCGTCGATGTAATCTGCGTCAGGACAAACACCGGGAAGGAAATGAAGAAACAAAACTCCTACTGCCCACAACTACTGTGTGGTGGTTTTTATTAAGGAGGCGAAACAGGAATGGAATCCAGATGTCTCTACCTGAAGCTCGGGCTGAGCGCCAGGCGCGAGCCTGCTGTTTAAATGGTTTTCACACTTGATGCTCCTCAGGGAAATGCGTGCAACATTATTTGAAAAAATATTTCCTTTCTCTTTTGACCTTTTGGCAGCTGAGAATCCTCAGCTGCAAAGCTGGGTCATGAACTAACAGTATACATCTATTCAAATAATTTCCCTGYATATAGGAATACTTTTGCGGACCACAGACTAACCAGGCACAGGTTAAATTTTCTTTTTCACCTTTTCAAAACAYGCATCAATAGCACAACAATAMTYAATTAATTTTTAGGGCARGATAYSTGTTGYTGGGCTATGRGAAGCTGAGGGTCATRAGTGAAAATMAAAATTTTGATTTTCAGTCCCTTGAACAGRGAATAGATATTTCAGGAAYACTGCTATGAGAACAGGGAACWGCATGCTCCTCTTGCACCRAGAACAACATGCTATTTTTAGTGTYTCAGGTGAATTATTAAAGCAAAATCTGACTATTTRCTAGAAGGAACCTTCTGAGATACTCTCTTCTGGTGGACAGCCAAAGGCACTGGACACCAAGTCTGCACCACAGAAGTTGGTGCTGCTGTATCTAAACTCCTCAGCAACAGCCTTCTTTGTGTGCTGCACAAACTATTCCACATCCCACCATGTGAAGGCCACCAAACAAAGCCCAGGAACCCATCCTCATTTTCTTGCCTTCCCACTRGCCTTCTGCTGAGGGAACATTTGACTTAATGGTTTTCCTTGCAACCTACAGGAGGTATTTTACTGATCCTGTGATCATACCTTGCAGCTGGACCTCCTTTGGGTTACACCAGCACTGGTACAAAGGGAAATCTGGTTTGGGGCTCTGAGCTAGCCCTGCTCTAGCTAAAGGTAAGAGTCCCTGAGCTACAGGCAGATCCAGGCAGGATCCCTGCCTGCCCTGGGTTCTGTGCTGCTCCGTGCTGCTGTCAGTGTGCAATCCCATGGYTCTGGGATTTGCCAGCATCCAGGCAGCACAACCATCCAGGAAGGCACTGGATGTCTCAGGAAAATGTCATCTTCCCTCTGTGCCTGGCCCYGCTCTTGTTTTCATCTATTTTCCAACCCTTTATTCTCCACTGGGTGGAGAGGAGGAGGGCAGGTGAGCAGGTGCAGTGCCTGTCAAACAGCCCAGCCCAGGAGCCCCAGGAAGGGCAGGGAGAGCCCTTGGCAGTGCCAGGAAGAGACAGAGACACACACACACAGATGAAAGGTGTGAACATGTCAGTGGGTGGAACATCCAACCCCACATGGGCAGGATCTGCTGCTACACCCTCCTGGACAAGGCCAACAAAGCACTTTAGGTTTGACAGAAAGCCAGSAGTCGTTTCCAGATAATTGGATGCTGTGGTGAGCAGCAGAGAGCTCCAGGATAAGTTTTAGTCCTACCTACCTGGTGTTTACACGGCACAATATTGAATATACCACGTTAGATTGTCAKCTGGAGCTCAACTTGTTCTTCCTACTTTTATATTTGTAATTCTTGCTATTTTTTTTCCACCATAGTTATTTGTGAAAGCAATTTTATTTAATACATACGTWTGTGTTTAAAGACACACAAAAGCTCCCTCTTGATTTTTAAGACTCTAGAGCTTCAAGTTAACTAAATCATGGGAAAAATAAGGCTGAACCAGTGCTTGACAGGCACTCTGCAGCATCTGGGGAATAACATCAGAAATGCCAGGGTAAAAGTACTGTGTCTTTGACCCTTGCTCCAATCAAAAGGTGTCTGTATTTGCACACAGCCTAAATTCAAGGGGCTCTGAGCTCCCTGTGAGCACAGTTTAGCTCACCTCCCTCGGGTCATTCCCTTGTGGACAGCCACAGCCCATMGGGGCAGTGAATAGCTGCAGCTCCTCTCTGTTTTTAGTTTCTGCAACTGTTCCCTACAACAAGCTGAAAACAATTGTTTTCRCTGTCACATCTGGAAGAATATTACACACGCAAATACACAATGTTCCTGCTGCACACGCCACTCCCCACACATGCACCAACATAAKTCATCTTATTTGTGTATCCACCAAATACTACTTTCAGATCTTGCTTATTTATCCAATAGTTATATTTTGGTTCCCAAACCACCACACGATTCTAAATTTGTACTTACCCTTACTCTAAAAATAAATGTGAAACCTTGCTTCCTATACTTTTTAAAAAAGCACACTTTGGGCTAAAAAAAGACCCTCTTCTGGGATAACTGGTATGATTTTCCAGATTATAGATTTACCGGTGGAATGCAGCTACCACAGTACAGCTTGTGCATCTGCACAGATTTGTATTCAAAAGCCGACGAACAAAAGCCACATGTTGAAAAATCCTATTTTGCTTGGCCCGCTCTTGGCSATGCCTCACCATTCTCATTTCCCCCACGCTTGTTTTTACAATCCCAAGATGCCCACAGGAGGCCTGGAATGCTCACTCACCATACTCGGGCTGCTCCTTGGGCTCGAAYGCCCGGTGACTGGGTGCACGGCCATCCCACCCACCGAGAGGGTTTAGGAAGTTGCTGTCCTCGGTGGTGCTGTCGTATTTGTAGTCCTGGTCACCGCTGCTCATGCGGGTCAGGGTGGAGGATCTCTGCCACCAGCTCCTCCAGTCGGGCGATGGGGCYGGCCAGCTGGGCTTGCTGCTCTCCTTCTGCAGCTCCTTGTCTGCCTCGGCGTCGGGGCCATCCAGCACCTCGATGGTGACCTGTGGGGTCCAGAGCAGAGCTCGGTCAGTGCCTCCTCCCAGCCAGTGGGAAGATTTCCCTACGGCACAGGCGAGGTGCTGCCTGGCACGGGGGCTCTGCGATACCAGCGGGTTCACATGCTGTGAGCCATATGGAGATTAGCGAGCCCAGAGATATGCACAGGCTGAGTGATTCCTTCTGCTACCTCTGCTGAATCAGACTTTGGAACAAAGGCTAGGAAAAATCCTGCACAAAATAATAACCCGTGCTCTGCCTGAAACCTTCGCGGCAGAATTTTCTGCCCGATGGGGAAAATGTGTTTAGAGCCAAACATGCGTGACCAGGAAAAAGAAAACTGAATCTGTACTCTGTGTWGAGGCTGAATTTGAAGCACACCAGYGAGCAGAGCCTGTTCCAAGGACCTAGGCTGACTCAAGATGGGCCATGAGTGTGAAGATGAAGATGCAGAGCCCAGGTAGCCAGGTTTGCATCTGTCTTGCCCTCTGGCAGCAGCCCAGCTGTTATTGCTGYATGAAACCACTCTTTGTGGCAGTGATGGAGCCAGCAGCTCCTCTGACCATCGCTGAGTAAGTCACTTGCTGCAAAGCCCTCTAAAATAGATCCTTTTGTCCTGCTGGAAGAGTATAATGACCTGTTATGGTCAACCTGTTTATGGTTTCTACAGAAGCCCAGAACCAAAATTCAAAGTTTGCTGCCCAATTTCCTCACAGACATCACGAATGTCAATATCATTCTGCACAGGAGCAACCCCTGATTATTGCTTTCTGTGCTGAACAATGTGTAATTATAAAACGCTTGGATAAATACTGTGTGTGCACAKAGGTGGCTATTTAGGTAGAAGCACACCAGCCATCAGAAACCTTGGCTCTGTGAGTCATGCAAGCATTGCCTGGCCACAGCTAAATCATAAAATGCTCTGATGTTTCATGCTAATGTGGTTCAGTGATYACACTGGACTGGCTAAACAACCAGAAGTGACTGTCAGATATATCTATAATGTTTAATARGTATGGAGGCATTCTCAGCCTTTCAAGATGGTGCACCATGAAGATCAGGTTGTGTAAAACAGAAATAATGTACTATGATGCTAAAAGTCATTTATACAGYTCTGTGGATGTGCACTGTGCACAAAAGGTTGGTTTTRTAAAATTCCTATTAGTAAAATCACWAAACACACAARAAAAAGAAAGAAAAGGTCACAGCTACCTGTGACCCACYGAGTGTGACACAGGAGACAAAGTGGAAATGTCACACCATCAGAGCTGCAGGCACAGCTGCACATCCTTTCTTTGGAGAAATGAAATGTTGAACCTATTCCATGCTTTGCATTTGACCATAAACCAAGCCAGTGAAATTAAAAGACTTTCAGSCTACTATGATGCTCCACTGGGAGAAAGAACAAGAGCAAGGAAAAGTGCAGTTGTCAGCCTAATAGCATCTCCACCCAAGGGACATTTCACTAGCAGGCTTTATATGGAATTGGAATGATTACTTCATTAAACCTCCGTTTCTACAGACCAAGAATTAAAATGAATTTCATAAGCTTGAAAACATCAGGGTCAGTTCAGGGATTCAAAATTGTTGCATCTATCCAAGCRAAACAGAGTTTTCACAATAAATGAAAGGAAATGGCGTTACTGAGTGGCAAACACTGCCAGTGGTAGGGCTTTAGTACTCTCACCTGAGAATTGGTACAACTCCAGTACTTCATAGCAAGTGTTTTAGGACCACATTAACTCTCTGAGCAATGACTCAGCAAAATGGAAAAAACCAAACCCTCTGAGAAAAAAATAATGATAAGTGCTCCATTTGCTTTGGTAATCTGCAGCTGTGTGACACTCGATCAGCACGAACTTGGATTATTTCAGCCAGGTACAATGTGAAGAACCACAGGAACCTGATTTTAAATTSTGATTGATGATGGCAAGAGTTTAAGAAAAAAGGGGTTTTCAGGACCAGAGAAAGCTCTGCTGAGCTTGGTGAGGAGAGGCAGGTGGAGTGCACACACTTCCAGTGCTGTCAGACCCAGCACACCTCCCCAACACCGTCACTAACTTATTTCGAGATGTATCTGTGCAATTAGATCCCCTCCAGTCTGGTTTTACCACTGAGGAAGCTTCTTACAAAGGCCTCTACAATGAGCTTTCCAGCACACAGCCAATTTAAAAACCAAAAACAGCAGAGCAAATGTCAGTGTGGTAGTCTGACACATACCTGTGCTCCTCTCTCCCCTGCTTTAAGCTTTGATTACCAAGGTGTTACTGTGGCATAAAAACCATAGAGGGAAGGAAATTGTATAAAGAATCCTGGGATTGTTCGAACCACCACTCTCAGAAATTAGAAGCCGACTTCAGTTGACTCTGGTGTTTTCAGGGACTTGGCTGTGCTCTGCCCTGCTCCATTTGGCTTAATGGATCTTCCAAATGTGGGGAGGAAATCAGTGCACAACCCTAGCAATCCCTCCTACACTCTACCCAAATGTTAGGGCAGAGGTGTGAGAAGAGGCTGCTGTTTCAGATAAGCTATTGCTCCCTTATCCAGGTCTAAAAGTTTGAAAAATTAGCTTTCACTGAACTCTCCCCAGTACTTACAGAATTACAGTGTTAGTTCACGACTGTACATGCATGTGTATTTGTACATACACATGGCACTGGAATGTATAACTTGGTTGATCCRTTTTATAAAAAGGAATAAAGAAATCAAGAAAAAAGATCAAGAACTAGAGTCATAAAAAACAGGCGTTTAGAGAAGCTCTGGAAAAGCTTTCATGCTCTATAAGTATTCCAATAAAAACATGTTCTCCTAAAAATTAAAAAATAGGTCTGGTTTAGCATTTCTATTTTGGAGACCATTTTGAAGGCTGATTTCTTCTTCCAGTGATTATCAAAACTGTAAAGATTTTTTTCCTCAAGCTTCCCAAAATGTCTGTGGTAACACAGCTCTTGTATAAATCCACAACCATCCCCAGAAATATTCAAACCTAAAATAAAGCCACTTCTTTTATGTTTGTATGAACTATGAATAAGGACGTTCCTCTGAAAACTGTTAAAATAATTGGCGTAGGTACATTAAAACAACAGATTTGCAGTCAATTTCTAATGAAACAAGTGTATCAAGCACAGATGTCTCCAGACACCAACATCCAATTTTCTCCTGGCCAAAAATATACAGAAGATAAATATTATCCCAGCCTGSTGGAGTGCACAAAAAGTTCTGTGTTCTTCATCCTGTTTACTGAGACAATGTTTCTGATTTCACTTTACTGGTGTAAACATTGCCCTAAGCAACTGGAAGATTATATTTCAGGAAGAACTATGTTTGCAATATTGTGCAAGCAGCAGATCCTACAACATTTCTATCCTGTTCCTTTCATGCAATTGATGCAAATTTTCAATACAGAGCTGGCAAGATGGATGTGCAAGTTAGCAATGAGGTAACTACAACAAAAGAACAGAAAAAAGTTTATGAATGTCCTGTGATGAAAGGGTGTTCCTCTCCAATGCAGTAAAAGAGCAGTGACAAACATAAATGACAGCTAAAAATCCCATCTAATAAAATGTGTGGAAGTGACATGATGCAGGTGCAGGTGAGGGAAGTGGCTGTGGATGAAGCTGGAGAAGAGCTGAGCTCTGCAGTTCTTTTTTAAAAGCAGATCCCACAGCCTTGTTTCTCCGTGGCTGTGCGTGTTCCTGGCGTCGGTGGTTTGCTGTAGATGTTTTCCCATGAGAAGGCAGTAACCCAGGAGGTATCAAAGAGAGAAAACAGATAACAAACAGGTARCAAAGCCAACACAGCAGCACTGGGGTGGTGTGACCCATGGATATGGCCACGGGCCTGGTGGCAAATGAYAAAGGCATCAAGGCATTAACTTCTGTTTGAAAACCACTCCTATTAATGACTACTAATCCTGTGACTCTAAGCAAGGACAATAATCCAAACACAGTCAATCATATACTGATTTACTTCTGTTTTCCAGGGTACATCAACAGGGTTTTAGACAAGAATCCTACCTGTTTCTGTTTAACACATCCCTTGCAACTGGAACTCACCCATCTGTGTTTCAGCTCTTTTGCTCATGAAGTTTGACCAAGGTATAAGCTCAGTGAGAAGCATTAATATCAACAAAATGCCCTTTTTGCCCAGAGAGATTGTGAACTCCCCATCCCTGGAGGTGTGACCAGGCTAGATGGGGTTCAGAATAACCTGATCCAGCAGAAGGTGTCCCTGCCCATGGCAGGGGGGATTGAACTAGATGATCTAGAATGTTCTTTCCAACCCAAAGCACCCTGTGGTTCTGTGAGTTTTCCCTTTTCTGCTCCTTTGTCCTGGTGTCGAGCATTGCTGGGGAATCAGCAAAGCAGTAGGAGAAGGGAGCAGCACATCACCCGCCCCTGCTACAGCACACAAACCTGGGGAACCAGGGGTGAAAAGAAAAGGGGAGGGACAGGAGCAAGAGTTCAGTCMCAACTGGAAACATCTGGCTCCAGAGGGTCAGCTGCAAGGAGCAGAGAGGATGTAGAAGGCTGTTTAGAAGAGACAAGAAAAACCCATCAGAAATGGAAAAGAGGCAGGTTCCCATGCACCTTCCATGTGATTTCATTCTGCTGCTCAGGGGTCAGAACAATTGTAACTTACTCTGGATAATAACCCCCATCAATTACAAGGTCTGCATAAACATCCCTCAGCTGGTTTGCCAAGCAAGTGCAAACCTAGACAGCAGGGACTTTCCACTTGTGAAAGGAAATTCAAAGGAAATGTGTGATCAGTTTTTGCGATCACCTTCTCATCTAAGAGTCTTCCAGACATTGAGAAGTGTTGAAGATGACAAAAAAAAAGAGAAAAACGAAGCACCCCAAACCAAGCAGGCAGTCTTTGCTCAACAGCCGCTCCTGTGGTCACTCTGAACAATGAGAGCTGAAGCATAAAATGCCACTTGAAATGATGAGAGATTTCACAAAGCTGGAACACCACAGGAAGGCCAGTAAGTGTTGTCCTGGTCTCGTATGCAAAGAATCATATTGCATTTGGATTACTGTAGCTCTGACTGTTGTTTTGGAGGGTTTTCTAGAGACAGTCTGCTGTACTTCGATTATCATCTGATAAATATGGCAGTATCTGGGATAATCTTCTGAATTCCCCTGATGGTGCTCTGATATTCACCAGTTTATCACTGAAAGAGCTCACATCAGGGCAAGATACAGCAAGAGCCATCTCACATGACCAGAGAAGGAGTGACCCTAAAGAGAACTCACTGGAGTATCTTTTCCACCTGCTTTTTCAGAAGAATTTTATGCCTCTTAGATTTTTAACTTCCCAGGTATAATTTCAATTAAAAATGTTATTTTTGGTGTATGCAGTAGAAGGAAAAAGAGATTTTGAGCATTTGAGAAGAAAATGTGGCCACTGTGCTGTCTTAACACACAGGCTGTTTTCTCCTTTCCAACCTCTCAGTCCTGGGACTTTTTAGATCACCCCTCCTGGGATTGTGACTTACAGAGCTGAGAGCCATGGTGCAACAAGAAAAATAAGCATCAATTCTGTTTTCACCTGCCAAATAGCTGATCAGAAATTTGCAAGTCAACAAGTGTCACTTTTCTGTTCAGGTCAGTATRGTACTGTTTAACAAGCAAGAATTCACTATAATCCTGTTTTTCCCAAAAGAGCAGGCCAACTTTTACAACTTTTAGACAAAGAAATGAGCTTTTTCTAGCTCTGTAGGGAATTACGGGCAGTTTTATCTCCATGAAGCTTGACCAGCTGCAAGACTGTCAACSAGGAACTTAAAGAAGCTTTGTATATCCCTATTTACCCACCTGAGCAAGCAGAGTAAATGCAGAGTAAATACGCTGCAGACCTTAGGGAGCCTGTTTCTGAAAGGGCTCATCCTTGTGCACAAGAGCTCTGGGATCCATGTCACCCCAGTGTTTTCCAGTTTACAGGACTGGTCTTCCCAGTCTTCAGAGTCCAGAAAAGCTGCTGACACATTTCCAAGAGCAGGTGGTGGAAGAAGAGGTCATAGCAGCAGCAGACACTATGAAGATGAGCCAGGGAACTGTTTCCATCTCTTTTATCTCTTCCCTGTGTCTAAACACTGTGTGCTGTTAGCAGTCAAAGGTTTTTGTTTCCTCCTCAAAGGTTCATGTACAATCAGTGATGTTACACTGTTTGCCTCACGCCACAATCTGGGGCCCCTACAGATTCCCAGTCTTCCCTTCCTAAAGCTTCCAGGAATGGCTCTCCTATCATGAGAAATGTGTTCAGTCAGCACATTGTTGGACATGTTTCCTACCTCAGCCTGTCAAGTGTTGGATCTGCCCTTGACCCAGATCTGTGGGACTTCTCAATGTTCCAACTCATCCACGGTGAAGGGAGTGACACCGTGGGGACAGCGTGTGGTCACCCAGTCATGGAATCACTGGTTTGGGCTGGAAGAGCTCTTTGAGATCATCTCATTCCATCTCCCCTGTCATGGCAGGGACATCCTCCCCAAGACCAGGCTGCTCAGAGCCTCATCCAGCCTGGCCTCGAACATCTCCAGGGATGGGGCATCCACAGCTTCTCTGGGCAACCTGTGCCAGGGCCTCACCACCCTGACAGTGAAGAATTCCTTCCTAAAACTAATCTRAACTTACCCTCTGTCAGTTTAAAGCCATTCTCTCTTGTCCCATCACTCCATGTCCTTGTAAAAAGTCCCTCTCCATCTCTGTTGGAGCCCCTTTAGCACRGGAAGGTGCTCTAAGGTCTCCCCTGATCCWTTWTKCCTGTCTCCAGMGCAGAGGTGCTCCAGCCCTCTGAGCATGTTGGCCTCTSACCAGCAGATCTATTACATCCTTACATACATTTTTCCTAGACATATCAAAAGGATGGTAATTTTGTGGGCTGGGGGACTGTAAGAAGCCAGGAATTAATTTAACCAGAAAACCAGATCTATTAGTGCATTGTTTTTATAAGCACATCTTAGGCAGAACAATATTTGAATTTATTGTTTTGGTTAAAAAGGACTGCTTATTAATGCCAATTTTGCTTTAAGGCTCTGAATTAAAAAYGAATCACTCATTTTTTCCTCTTTCCAATCCTCAAAGTTTCAAGATGCAAGTGGCTTGCAAGAGGCTGTTCCAAATCCAAGAATAGTTTGAGGAATAAYATATAACTAAGTTTCTTGCAGACAACTTTTTTTTACTCCAAGCAGCTGCTGCAGAAATTAACTCTAAGTCTCACTTCCACACAGAGGAACGCTTTTTGAGCTGAAATTGAAAGACTTGTTTGCTGACATCCTTTGGGGAATGGTTGCATTTTATAACAGCACACCATAAGCAAATCTGTTCACAAACCAATTCCACAACAGTAAATTGAAAGCAGAAATTGAAATACCCATTTATTATCGAAGATAATATGGAAAGATAATATGCTCCAAAATGGCAATCACAAAGATGGGTTTAGCACCAGAAGCARATCTACACTGATCTCCACACTTATGCAATCATCATTCTCCAAGGAGAAATTCAGAAAAAAATTGCAATATCTGCATTGAGTTGGAGAGAAAATGTACATAATATATATATATTTATATATAATACTATGCTACATTACATTATGTTGTGCTATATACATTCTCTGTTGGTAGAGACAGATTGTTCTGGCTGTGTGCCAAGGGAGCCAGGCTGAAAGTGGTCTTGGTTCAGTAAAATAACTTTGTTCAAGTCATAAAAAAGCCAGATGTTAGCATAAATTTGTACCTGGATGTTGGGGTTCTGCCCATTGATATCTGCTTTTGACAGGTCAGGGAAGTTTGGGAGATCCAGGAGGAAAGATCTGGGTCCATCTCTTTGCAAGGACGTGTGCCCGCYCTCCGGCCTGAACCGCTCCTTGGGGAATGGCCGGTGGGCAGCCTGGAGATCGGGGTATTCTCGTCGCTCCTCGGGGTTCAGGGTGAAGCTGGCTTCAGGAGAGTGGTCCTCTGCAGTCAGTGTGTTCTGGGCAAGRAAAGGGAGGCACAAAAATGACACCACTGAGAGCGTGCAGCCCTGCCACCGCCCTGTCTCTCCACTGGCTGCAGCCTTGTGGCACCCAGACCCACAGCTCACTGCTGAAACACAAATCTGTACCTGGCTGGCACAAGATAAAACTGAGTCAGCCCTGGAGACTCAGCTCTTCCAGGCTCCTGAGCCATTCCAGGCTTGTGGTGAAGCACCTACACAYGGACACAAGCATCAGACTTAAACCTAGAAACACGAGACTCTGAAGTGACCCCTGGGCAGTCAAACTGCACCACACTAAACATGTCCCTAAAAATGCTGAAAGGCATCCTTCTTATGAATCGTTTTAGTTTGCTTTGTTCCTAAGTGAAGCAAAAACACTGACTGCTAAGGCCATGTCGAAATTTATGGCATTAAAAGATCCTACCGCTGAGCTGGCAACCTCCCCTTCTCTCCCCTCAGTCTGCAACAACTTCCATCTCATCTCTGTGTTCCTCACCCAATTTCTCTGGTCTTGAACATCTGAACCTTCCTTCCTCTGGGATCTCATTTTCATGTTTGCCTAATGGTGGGATTGAATTTCACCGAGCTGTGGGTCAGCGGTTAATGCTTTTGTTATTGTTGAGCGTACTTTTGGGTTTTGTAGTATATTACAGCAGGCTGCCTCTGAACCAGTAGCACTGCTGCCACTGCCTTTGACCTCACCAAGGAGACACATTTAGTATCAAAACACTGGCTCTCTGGGTTAGGACTGGCCTGGGGACTCGGGGAAAAAAAACAGCAGAAAAGGCCAATCTTCTTATGGCTATTTAAAAAAAAAATGGATGGGGCAGATTCAGCACAGGTTTTGGGTTTGACTCAGCTGAAAAGCTTCAGCTTGAGGTCTTAGTATGACTGCCTGGGGAGTTTTTATTTTCAGTTCATAAAGAGACAGCAAGCATGGAGAGGGTAAATGTTAAAGACCTATCTTTTAAAACAAGCACAATTAAAGTGGAATGGCCACATGTGGTTCTGGCTCTACTGAAGCATATTTTTGCCAGCATTTCTGGTTAAATGCAATCTCCATCCAGCTCCCCTGGTTCAAATTAAGCCATAGCATACCTTTAGCTAAACTCTYAGATAGATAACAGCTTCAGTGCCTTTTCTTTTATTTTGTGTTTATTTGCTTAGAGGGTTCTAAATTGACCTTTAAAGAGATTTTACAACATAACCTGTGYAGATTACAGGAAAATATTCAGTGAGTTAAAGTAAACTAAGATTGAAGTTAATCTGGGACTAAGTTAAATTGTCTCAAGTAAAAATGAAGGTGGCTCTCCTCTACCCTCCTCACTGCACTCTATTTCTAAAGAGCAGAATCAAATTTAGCAGAATTACTGTTTTTGTATTGTCATGCCTAGAATGGATATACACTGAAAGTGCCAAAAGGGCAATTTTATATCTACAGCACAGATACAAATTCTGAATTAGTATGTGTGCAGTGTAAAATGTGTGTGCTCCTGACAGTCTGATTTGCCTGAAGGCCAAAACAGAGGCTCTTCCCTTTGCTGGAGACCAGAAAGGACTTTCAGATGCCTTTGGTGGCCCACCCATAATCCAACAAAAGTTGAAAGCAGATCACACAGCATCAAACTCTGGGAAACRAAACTGAGGGCCACTTCGCTAACTTTAGGTTCCTTACTCATATGCTARTGCTTTAACTTAACACTTTTCAGACAGAATTTAACTGCAAACTTCTTGGTGCATGAGGATTAAATGGCTTTTCGGCCATGTCTGACTAACAACAGGGTGTTATAGKGCTGTGATTAAATTACTTCAGTCAGGAACCAAAAAAAAAACCTGTGGTACTTAACTCCTTTTACTGGGGTATCATGCCCATAATCTTACCTTTATTAAAAATAAAGTAAGATTTTATTAAAAACTAATAAAATTCTCACATACAATTTCATACTTTCCCTATCCGCTCTCCCCTTCRGAAGCATCCTGATTCTCCACACTGACATTCCATGCAGATAGAGCTATCCCARGCCCTTGGAGAGCCACATTTAACTCTGTGACAAGACTTGGTGTGTGATCCTGACAGGTCATGCATGGCCTGTCGGTGTCTCRGTGGGGATAACAGCACTTCCCTCCCTCACTGGGATGTTCGCGGGGAGCTCAGCAACTACAATAATAAGGGCCATATAAAAAGTTTTTAATAGTGTCAAGCAGATGGGCCATCACATGGAGTTAGTTAGGAAATTGTAATGGTGAAGTAATGACATCAGGCTGATCCCAAGCTGCTCGGGGCGGGGACTGCCATTAATTACAGAGCGAGCGGGACGGGGCTGTCTGACATCAGGAGAAACGCACACGGAGGACAAGACAACTGCTCCACCCCAAAGGATGCTTCAGCAAAGGGAAGATGGACCGCTCTGCTCGCTCAGGGTGGACAGAGACCACAGTGAAACACATCAGGGACACATTTCTGATGGCAGCCGCTGCCAAGCCCCAGAGTGGTCACTAAGAAGGACAAGGAGGTGACTCCAAGGGAAAGCCTGATGAATGGCTGGCAGGAATGACCCAAGTGGAGCAGTGTGTGCTCTGCCTGGAGTCAGGGCTATCTCTCACAGCCCCTTTCACATCAGGACAAGCCCAGGATTGGCCTCCTTGGGGCTCTGTGTCCTACTGTGACACAGGCAAATGGAAACGCTCAGCATGTGTGACCACTCCAGTTATCTGCTCATGGCACCACTTGTTTCCAGTCAATAAAATGAACAGAATGCCCATATTTTAGGAAGATACTTCTTGGTGTCGTGTCTAAGCTGAGTGGCAGGGTTATTAGAAATGTGTATTTCTGGTAAAAAGATTTAAGAGGCTGCCACGAATAAAAGTGAGCTTGACATGCATGTGAGGAGAAGATTCTGCTCACCCTGTGCTACTGCATGAGCTCTGCAAAGGCTCTTCYGAGACCCACCTAGCAGGAAAAAGTGCATCCTTATTGCAATGCCAGMACCCTTTCTGAAGAAAATAGGGCTTGTGTTCCAAAGCTAATAGATGAAATTTAGGTTTTTTTCATGGGGAATAGTCTTCTTATTTTACATTATTTCTCAAGTTTATATTTCACACTATTTATTTTTAGGTGTACACAGTTTTATTCCTGATGCTTTTGGGAAAGCAATGTTTCTTGCCTTCCTTTAAAAGCTGTGTCACTTCATTCAGAGCTACTGACTCAGTTTCTTTGAAGTAATGACATTTCTAATTCAGGCACACTGGTTTCTTACTCAAATGATGCATCTGCTCTAAATATTTTATGATAAAGCACTTTTTCCCCTGCATTTAACAGGATTATTCACAATGTTTAAACTTTCCATTAAGATGATTTTAAGAGGTTACTCATACTGGCAGTAAGCGACAGTTCTGCAGCCCTGTGGGATCAGATAATTATAGAAGTTCCTAATACAAAAACAGCTCAGGGTTTTTSAGTGTTCCAAGTGTGGGCAGCATATAAGGGCAGGAACACATAACCCACAGTTGGGTGACAAGGCAACAAAACAAACCCTTGAGAGAGGATCTGACACATTGTTTGCAGCACAGAACAACGCACCTTGCAGCACCCATCTCTGGAAAAATGAGGGCAGTAGGTCAGTACTTATGAATGTCTTTGTGCCCATCTAAACCACTAAAAAAGAGCAATTCACAGGGAATTTTGTGAGGATAAATTTCAGTGCTGGTGACTCAGGCAGGACTTGCACTATGGCAGCGTCTAAGGCACCAAGAGACAATCCTGCATGCACGAAAAATGTTCTGCCTGATACTGCAGCTTAACCCTTCAATAATCAGATGGATGTTTTAATCTGGCCCTCCTTGTCCTTCCCATGACGTTTCTCCCTCTGTCACCCAGAAACTAGCTACAGTGAAATGCACTGTTTCTCTTCCCAGAAGAGCTAAACATAAATGGCAACTTGTAAAAATACCAAACCAGGGGGAAAGGGAATTTCTCTGCAATTTTGGCAAGCAAGGAGTCCATCTCCCTCCTCTCTTCCTTATTTTAATACCATTTCCAGTTCTGGAAAAACAACCAAGACAGAGCATAAGTGAGGAATGACTGTAGTTACAGAAAATATTCTGAAGCAGTTGCTCTTTCTCTGTGCTTTGTAATCGTTACCTTCCTTCATTCAGTCCTCACTTACCAAACTAAGGGCACATTTGCAAGCCCTAATTATGGAGCYGAGAGGATTTTGGAAAACTGATGCAACTAATGTTCTAACAACTCCCAGGCAGCAAGGGAATCTATTACTAAATCCCTGCTGCAGCTACATTCTGCTTTCTTATTTCTTGCACAGTCCTTTGAAATATCTTGCAAAATGATCTTGACAAGAGGTCTTGAATTGAAAACTGACAGTCTGTCACTGCACTTTCATGATGCACCTGTACAGCATCTTCAACCACCAGCAACAAGGAATTTTTATTTATTAGGAAACTTCACAGACGCTGTAAAAGATTATATTGCTATCAGACACAAAATGAGGCCTGGGACCTTCACAGAAAACCATTATGGCCATTAGGASTGGTTTAATTTCCCACCTGCCCAAACAGATTGTTTTCATTTCAAAGGCTGTCGTGGGTTTTCAGGTTAGTGCTAAATGATCACTTTGAAATTAAAAATTAAGCGCTCTGGGGAGGCCGAGTAACACACCAGGACAYGACATGAGGCTCTCACCTCCACAGATCCAAGATGTGTCATGAACTTGGGGGATCTGATTCCTGGAGTTTATTTTATTTTATTTCTTTTGTCTGTTGTGAGTATAAGCAGCACGGGACCTATCAGGGTGAGGTATGAGGATGGTGTTAGAGGAGCAGGCAGCGAGGGTAACAGCTGAGAAACATTATCAGAGATACACAGAGAAAGATTCCTTTTATCATTAATTCCACATACAGTCCAGGCAATCAGACAGAAAGTCAGACCAGAGGAGTGTCACATCAAACACTCCCCTACCAAGATATTCTCATCTCTTCTT